TGTGTGTGTGTGTGTGTGTGTGTGTACTGTGTGAGGATGGGGAAAGTGTGCACGGGGGAGGGAGGAGTTAGATCGGATCGATGAGGGTGTGTAACAGGCGATACACAACGACGAGGAAACGATACGACAAGGAAGCGTTAAATCTGTACGACCGGCAGAGAGTCGTATTCTGGCTACACGGATCTGGTCAGTCGCGGTTTCCGACAACGAACAGGGGATATCGGTATCGTCAATCGAAAACGCAATTACCTTTCGAACGGGGCTCGTTCGTACTCGCTTCCCTTCCGTTCGCCTTATTTCAGCCTTCGCCGAATAGTACATGCAACTTGCAAGTTCGCGGGTAAACCTGCCCAGTGAATGAACGTTTGTTCGTGCCACATTGACGAAAAGTCAATATCCTGATACTAATGCTCTCTCTCTCTCTCTCTCTCTCTCTCTATCTCTGTTTGAAATTTGCATTTCGAGTGGAAACTCACGAGAACGTTATACGGTGGTAAACTGTCTTCCTGTCTCTTCGTATCTATAACTTGGAATTTAAATCTTGACGTCTATAAAGAATTTGTCGATATTGTTCATCCATCGGAGATGAGTGAACAAGAAGTCATCGAGTTTCGAAACGACCGTATCGTACTATCAAAGAGACAATTACGTCAGAATGCAAACGACGAGTCTGCGAAACGGGGTTCGTTCGTCGAAAGAAGATCGATGTTCGTTCACTGGACAGGTCACGGTTTAAGTACTCGTTCGCTCTGCTTCTTCGAAACGACGTGCTTCTTACTGTCCATCCATGTATATACCTTTCCAACTTCGACTTTCAACCCTTCTCTTGATTTTTAGAACAAACATCGTGTGTATACGCAATAGGAAGCTAAAAAATATATGTATAGTGTTGCGCGCTGCGAGGGCCGGACACGCGTGGCGAGCAGCAGTCTCCACTTCACGGTACACGACCGAACACGATCGATCGCAGAAATTTCTTTCGCATCCGTGTTATTCAGTTCTCGATTCGCTTCCTCTTTCTTTTTTTTTTTTTTTTTTTTTTTTTCTTTTTTTTTTTTTTTTTTACCGATCGACGAAACCCTCGTTCGTCCTCGGTACGTATCATATTCATACGTATCATATTCATACACAGGACGAACCAGGGTACGTACGTAGTATACCTATCTATATCTCGCGCATCAACATTCCGTCTCTTCGAATTCTCTCTCCTTTCAGTCTCGAATCGGACGGTCGCGTATCCATCTCCACGTCTGCTACGTTCATCTACCTACGTTCGTCTCTATCTTCCTACATTCTCAAACACATCAGCGTCCGGCTCGCCCGCTATTCTATCCAATTTCCGTTCCCGCTTTTCTTCTTCTCCCTTCGTTCGACAACCTCTCGCGATGATGCCTCCTCTTGTAGTAGCAGCTGCGCTACTTGAAACGACGCGACTACGCTGCTTCGTCGTCGAGTTCAAGTGGATTTGTTATTATCCGCGCGGACACGGAGGAACGTACTCGTTCAGCGTCAGACAGGCGAGACAAATATTCTTTAACAAATATTCTATATAATATAGGTGTTTAGATCTATTGTATCGTATTAGCACACGTATTATCACACGTACTATTGCTTCATTCGACACTCTCGCGAGGAGATGCTTTATTTCATATAGATTAATGGATTAATCGTTTAAAGACCCTTAAAGACCCCGAATTCTTCTTTCATCGAGTATTTTCCAAAAGAACTTTCTAGTAGTTTCTAGAAAATATTGAAAAGGCTTGCTTTCCTTCTGTCTAATTCTGTTAATTTTTTCTTCTTTT